AAGGGCACTCCTATCAACCTAAGGTAGATAGGTCATTAGAAAAATAAAAAGAAAAAGAAAAACTAAGAGAAAAATTTTCAATGGAGTCTAAGACAATTAATATCAAATACTTTAAATGTCTAGGGAGAGGACACATAGCCTCCTAATGCTCTACTAAGAAAACTATGATTTTGAGAGACAATGACATTTATAGTAGTAACAATATTGCATCTTCTTCTTCATCTTCTAGTGGGGAAGAAGTCATAGACTCTAGTGAAGAAATCTCTCCATGTGAAGGAGACTTATTGTTTATTAGAAGGTTACTTGCTAACTAACCCCATGAGCAAGACCTATCCTAAAGAGAGAACCTATTTCATTCTAGATGCAAATTTTTGGAAAATACTTGTTCTCTCATTGTGGATAGTGATTCATGTAATAGTTTTTGTTTCTCAAGGTTGCTTGACAAGCTTAACTTGACTCCTTTTGTCCATCCTAAAGCTTACAAATTACAATTGTTAAATGAAGATGGACCATTAGAAGTCAAGGAACAAATAATCATTTTTGTCACCATTGTGAAGTATAAAGACAACGTTTTATGTGATATCATACACATGGAGGCAAGTCATGTATTATTTGGTAGACCTTGATAATATGATAGTAAGGTTATCCATGATGGCCTTACTAACAAAATAAGTCTCACTCATATAGGAGAGAAATTTGTGTTGACTCTTATATTACCTTCACAAGTCTTAAAGGATAAACTCATAATGAAAAAGATAATAAATAGTGAATAAAAGAAAGCAAAAAAAAAATTAAGTATTAGTAGGGAGAAAGATGAGGTAATTAAGTTGGAGAAAGGTATCTCCTCTAAGGTAATTGTTCCTAAAAGTCAATTTTCTCTCAAACATGAAATAAAACAAACACTTCTAGTAGAACAACCTCTTTACCTTCTCTACATTAAAGAGACACTAGCTACCACTAGTCTTGAACTTAATTGTCTTCCTAATAGGGTTCAAAATCTTTTAAATGAATTTGATGATTTATTTCCTAAGAGAATTCCTAGTGAACTTCCACCTTTAAGAGAAATAGAATATCAAATTGACTTGATTCCTGGAGTTAGCCTACCCAATAGGCCTACTTATAGTAAAAACACCCAAAAAACAAAAGAGATTGAAAGTCAAGTTAAAGACTTGTTGAAGAAGGATTGATTCTAAAGAACCTTAGCCCTTGTATTGTCTCTGTCCTATTAGTGTCCAAGAAAAATGGGAAATGGAGGGTGTGTACAGATTGGAGAGCTATAAATAACATCATGATTGGCTTGGTATGAATGCTTTATTTGTATTTAATAGAAAACTTGTGAGCATACTATGATAGAAACCTTGAGCTAATGTAACTTTTGGAAGGAGCACAAACTATGAAAAATCATGTGAAAAGTAAACTAGTGGTGGACTGAGAATGTCTAAAGGAGTAGGGCTCTAATAGGTGAAATTAAAATTTTTCTTACTATTAATTAGTATTTTTCGATATCAATATTGTTATCTTCATTTCATAAATTTTGGATTATATAATACTACATTTTCTTCATCTTAAGCTACTTGTAGTTATATCAGTATATATCTTGTAGAGATAAGTAAATTTTAGTGTACAATTGATTAACTTCAAATTTGTTTATGAAATTTAAAAACCTTCTATGATTTTAACCTTTCTTCTCTTTGACATTGATTTTCCTTTTATAGTCAATTAAAATATACAAATTTTAGCTTCCAAGTTAAGCCCAAATTGGTGCATTTTTTTTCTTTTATGTTAATTGGCTTTCTTTTTTATGATTCATTCAAATTTGCTTTATTTCTTGTTTAATTGACTTTCATTTTGTTCGTTGCCAAGGTGATTAATCTAAACAAAATTCAACTCATTTTGTATAAATTGTTTTCAAATCACTGAAATCAAGTTAACTTTGTTGTTTATTTTATTTTATTTTTATGTTTTTTAGCTATATTTTAAGTATCATGGGAGTGACGATCAAACTACTTAGCTAGTTGGAAGAATGAATTATTTTGCTATTATTTACTTTAACTTTTAATAGTGTTGAAAATGTCATAAAATCTTGCTATTTATTAAAATGAATTATTGCTATATGTGGGTTGAATCCTCTCTTTTACTATCTATTTTTAATTTCTCATTTAATGTTACTACAATGATCATGATAGTGAGTGTATTACTTATGTATGAATTTTTATTCGAAAAAAGGTGCAAATTAATGAATAAAAATATTAAATATAATATTTCCAAATCAAAAACATAAGTATTGTTTTATATATAGTGAATTGTGCACATATAAATAATTTACAATTCAGCTATAATTCAGCTAGGACTTTTATAATGAAAATATTTAATTAGTGGCAGATATACAACCATCAACAAGGATATGAATTTATGGCTCAATATAGCCAACTAACTGACATCTTGCCGTTACTTGGTGGTAATAGACAATTTATACTACAAGAATTTCGTGGATTAGCGAGGGAATTTAGCGAGGGGTATATTTCAAGCTAATTGCTCGCTAATTAGCGAGGGATTAGAGAGGATGTTCCTCTCTAATACCTTGCTAATTAGCGAGCAATTAGCTTGAAATATACTCCTTGCTAAATTCTCTCGCTAAATAGTGATCATTTTGTGACCAACTTTTATCTCCTCGCAAATCCCTCGCTAAAGTTAATACTTATCTAGTACCAAACTTAGGCCTTCGCAAATCCCTCTCCAAATTGTTAGCAAAAATTTAAAATTAATCTTTTTCACATAGTGAGGGAGTTTTTGTGTCACAAATCCCTCGCTAATGAGCTATAAGTATAGTCCTCGCAAATACTTCGCAAATCTTTTGCAAATTAGGGAGGGAAAAGTTTTTTCGCCATTCCTTCACAAATAAACAAATATGTTCCTTGCAAAACCCTTGTAAATGTCTCACAAATTTAGAGAACAAGTCCCTCACAAATTACTAATAAACCCCTCACAAATTTAGATAATAAGTCTCTCATAAATTGCTTTAGGATTATTTTCCTTAGCCTCTTATCTTGTCCAATATATATATATATACACACACACACACGTGTCTATTGATAGAATTATTGTATTCGATAATTCAC